GCCTGCTGCACAAGCACAAGGACCCGAGTTCGATCCTCGGTACCAAAAAAAAAAAAAAAATACACTGTACCAAAACAATTTTTATTCTAAAGTATTTGGTATTAAATGTGGGGGCCATCTTCAGTGTTTTGTTTTGTTTTTTGTCATTACTATTCTGGAAAACTCAGTATATATTCACAGCAGTTTTGCTAACAAGCTAGGGTCTGAGTATTCAATAAAAATCCCCATGTCCACTTTTGTGGCTGTTACTTCTATGAGATGGCTTAAGTAGAGGCTCAAACCACAACATTGAGTAGCATGGACCATTCCTTCATGCTTCCAGGAACTGATGGGCTGTGTGAGTCAATACTAATGTGGTAGGCTCAATTCCCAGTACTACCTCCACCAAAAGGAAAAGAGAGAGAGAGAGAGAGAGAGAGAGAGAGAGAGAAAGAGAATATGAGAGAGACAGAGGAGGTGGCTGGCTGGAGGGCTGGGTGTGGTGGTGCACACCTGTAATCCTAACACTGAGTACAGTCACAACAAGTTGAGGCCAGTCTGGCTGAACAGTGAGTTCAAGGACAGCCTAACTACATAGCCAGACCCTGTCTCCAAAAAAAGAAAAAAAAGGAGGAGGAGGAGGGAGGAGGGATACTAAGGCTTTGGTCCTTGGTGAACAAGTTTGTCATCTGTTACTAGATATATTTACAAACTCAGTTCCCATCATTTAATGAAATATTCTTGTCCTTCTTTTTATAGACGCTATCTAAATTCTCCTGGTCATATGGTGAAAGTCCTAGTGATAGAAAGTAAGTTTTAAGGGTGTGGTGGGGTGTTTTTGCCCCTTTTTTTGGTTTTTGAGACAGGGTCTCGCTCTGTAAGCCAGGCTGGCCTTGAACTCTCAGCAGTCCTGCCTCAGCTTCCTGAGTGTTGGGCTTACAGGCGTGTACCACCATGCCCATCCCTGATGTGTTCTTTCAAGATGTTTTTCTGATGGGTCCACAGACTTACATTTAAAACCTTCTGGTCATTGTTTGCTAACTGTTGGGATGGTTTTATCACATTCACAAGGGGCAATATATTCATAACTGTCCCACTGGCAGCTTGTACCACCCTGAAAGTACTGTCACATGATGCCCCATGTACCACCACTATTTTCAGCTTGAGTTTTGGAAGAACTCCTCAAATGTCTCCAAAATGATACAGGAGAAACTACTTAACAGAAGAGGACTTATTCCTGTCCTTGAATAAACTCTTAGAACTGACATAGGCTGCAACCACAAAGAGAACCACATATTTTGAAAGCTTTATGTCCAAAGGCAACTAAGGTTTCTAAATATCATTGAGAATCAGATGCCAAACCAATTCAACAAAGACCACAGCCTTATTAAACTGGATAGCAGTCTCCTCGTGTGTGTGTGTGTGTGTGTGTGTGTGTGTGTGTGTGTGTGTTACTGGGGACTGAACTCAAGGCCTTCATACTGACCTAATCCCCAGCTTAAATTTTTAGATGGAGTCTAAGTCACCTAGGCTGGGTTCAGAATTGTGATCCTTCTGCCTCGGGCTCCCAGAGTGCTATGATTTCAGGCAGGCACCATACCACCTAGCTTAGCTCTCTTCTTTTGGAATATTCTTGGTGTTGGTAACTTCTCCTTGTGGTCGGGAGGTGGAGATATTAAACATCCCCCAAAGGATATGTGTTGAGGACTTAGTCAGCAGCCTATAGTGCTACTGGGAGGCAGAGAAATCTTTAGGAGGTGGGGCCTATGGGGAGAAAGTTAGGTCCCTGGGGGCCATGCCTTTGAAGGGGATACTAGGATCCTGGTTCTTCCACGTCTCTCTGTTTCTTGGTCATTCTAAGGTGAGTTGCTTTGCTCCACCATGTGCTCCCCACCATGATCTACCTTTCCAAAGGCCCCAAACTGATGGAGCCAAGTGATCATGGATGGAAACCTCTGAAATCATGAACCAAAATAAGTCTTTCCTCCTTTTAAGTTGATTATTTCAGGTATCCTGTCTCAATAATGGAAAGCTAACATACTTCTCCTTTAGAACCTAGTTTTCATTACACTAATTTTTCTCAAAGATATTTTCCTGAAGTTTTATTTGATGACTCAAGTAAAATTTTCTGAGGTAAAAGATTTCACATCAACTCAGTAGATATTTTCCTTACCATAATCCTGACTTGAGCAAGGAAAGACATAGAGTCCCTTTGTTATAAGACCAACTTAGTTTTAGGCTCCAGAAAAGCCTGAGTCTCTCAGTAGCTCAGATCAAACCAGACTCCAACAAATTTAGGCATAAGTATCCCAACTATTCAAATTAATTTCAAAAATATCTTCCTAGGGTCAGGTAAATTCTTCTAGTTTACAAGGCTCTTTTATGCCTCACCTTGGGGCACATGACACTTTGATGAGCACTGCATTTGTATGACTAAGATATCTTCTTGTTCCTTTTCAAATTCTTACATGATTTATCATGTATAAATTTTAGAAATCTCTCCCTGGAACAAAGGACCACAGGAAGGATTTCCAAGGCTGACCCTGCCCCCCATGTCCCAATCCTACTAAATTAACTCCCTATTAAAGTTTTTTTGTTGTTGTTTTGTTTGTTTTTTGAGACAGGGTCTTGCTATGTAGTTCATGCTGGCCTAGAACTCATTATGTAGCCCAGGCTGGCCTCGAACTTGTGGTAACACTCCTGTCTCAGCTTCCTGAGTCCTGGGATTATAGGCATGTGCTAGCATGCCTGACCTAAATTTTTAAATTTAAATATTTTTACAAGTTGGCCTCTTATAGTCCTTATGCATGCTGAAGTATGAGAACCTCTGCACTGGTGCAAATGTAAGAGGGAACAAGGGCTGAAAATGTAGCTCAGTGGTACAGCATTTGCCTGGAAGGAGTGAGGCCCAGGTTCCATCTCTAGCACCCTCCTCCTCCACACACACAAAAAATAAACAAAAGGGAAAAAGAGAGTGAAAAAATCCTAGCAAGCAGAAGAAGGTAAAATTTGACTTTGAGGATTTATTACCAATGGGGGAACAGGACTGTAAAAAGTGGGGAGGGATTACAAACACCTTTGTTTTATAATTCCAACTCTTTCCTACATCATCTTCAGTTAGGCTGGTTGCATCAGTGTGTTGATACTTTCTTCTACTTCTGAGAGCTTCTTCAGTATTTGGTTGACCTTGACCTCATCAAATTCCAAACATAGAAATTCAGATTCCTGTGAAACATAACAAGATGCTTTAGAAGGGACCCCTAAGAGACAAAAGACTCTTCATATGGCATGATCAAGCTCCAAAGACCTAGGGATTGAACTCAGGGCCTTTGCACTGAGCTATATTCCCAGACTTTTTTTTTTCTATTATCTGCTTTGAGACAGCATCTCACTAAGTTGCCAGGCTGGGTTTGATTTTACAATCCTCCTGCCCTAGCCTGCCAGTGCTGGGATTACAGCCATGTATCACCACACCTAGCTGGTCTCTTTTTTGAGATCAACTTTTTAGCTTCCACATATAAATGAGAATATTTGGAGTTGGTATTTGTTTTTCTGTACCCAACTTATTTCACACAACATATTGTGTTTCAGTTCTGTGCATGATGCTCCAAATGACAGAATTTCTTTCTTTCCCTTGCTCCTCTAATCCCCCCACCTTGGGCCAGAGTAGGGATCAAATCCAGGACCTCAAGCATGCTAGGAAAGCATCCCTGAGCTATACCCCACCTCCCATTACCAGAATTTTTTTTATGGCTGAACAACATTCCACTTGTTTGTTTTTTTGTACCAGGGATTGAACTTGGGACCTTGTGCTTGTGAGGCAGGCGGTGGAACCACTGAGCTGAAATCCCCGGCCCAACATTCCACTTGTATGTATACCACATTTTCTTTATCCATTTATCCACTGATGGACACAGGTTGATTTGCTATCTTGGCTATTATGAATAGTGCTACAAAAAATATGAATGCTGATATCTTTTTGGCATACTCATTTCTATACCATATCCTCCTGCCTCAACCTCTCAAGTGCTGGGATTACGTGTGTCACCATGTCTAGCTTACACTTAAAAATGTATTTAGAAACACAGGAGATTCTTATCAAGGCAGAAGCTGAAAATATCAAAGCCATCTGTATAAAAAGTAGGTCCAGGGCCGGGGATTTTAGCTCAGTGGTTCTGGCGCCTGCCTTGAAAGTGCAAGGTCCCGAGTTTGATCCCTGGCAAAAAAAACAAAGGTATGTCCAATAAATTTGAAAATATATTTTAAAATGCTTCAAGTAAAAAGCAGAAAGTACCAAAGCAATATGAAATACTGTACTGCATTGTCTTTTCAAAGTCATTTTTCTTTATTGGGGTCTATTTGGTAGTAACAATGAGAAATGACAAGACTAAAATAGAGTGTCTGTATTTAAGTATATGGATCAAAAGTTAGAACTCGTTTCCTTTTTGTATAAGATGCAGTATGAGATAGACAGAAAGTTGTCAAAATAAGAAGCAAGCACATCATCTTCAAGAACATGTATTGTGCCAAGTGTGGTGGTGCACACCTGTAACCCAACACTTGGAAGGCTGAAGCAAAAAGGATCACCATGCATTTGAGGCCAGCCTGGATTACATAGTGTGTTCAAGGCCACCCTGAACTACAAAGCAAGACCCTTTCTCAAAAAATAATAAATAAAATGTACTATGTAATCATGGCAGTGTACTAAATTCAAGAGCTTAAATAACTATCCCAAATTAGAATTTTTAAAAAGGCAAAATATTCAAATTTTTGTCTCTCCAAATACAAAACTGCTGTCCTAAAATCCTCGGAAGAGATCCTTGACAGGCCACACTCCAAATCAACAAAAATCCAAGCCAGTTTTAACAACTTCCAGGGAGGGAAGGTCATCTCACAAATTCCTTAGAACTCTTTTTCTGGTAGTCAATCTATACTCTGGAAACTTTTACATATCAATCCTAAATCCTTAAACTCTTTTCCTAGCAAGATCAGAGACTATAACTGATTATTCACCTATAGGATAATGGGAAGCTGCTATTAGGCAAATATTTGTTCCATATACACATTAAACTATTTCATTGTACACATAAAACTTCCACTTAAATGATTTCCTTAGCTAGACCCAATAAGTATACCAGAGTGATTCTTCCATAAAACATTATAGTGATAGAATGGTAAAATAGAAAATAAAAGACAACTTATTAAATACATAAGTGAAACCATTTAGGAAAAGTTCAACATAAATAAAATAAAAATCCTATAATTTACTATGATATTACTATTTCCCAGGCAAAATTTCAATTTTATCAATTTATTGGCTGCATTAAATATTCTAACACAAATTTGGCAAGCTCCAATGTATTGTGATTTCTTTTACAAATGATAAAGTGGGGTCTCTTTGGGCCATTACAGGGAGTAGAAGGTAAAGTTTGGGATCTGGAGTCAGAATGATCTGGCCTTGCCACATAAAAACTGTGAGCTCCAGGGGCAGGGATTTAGCTCAGTGGCACCACTCCTGCCTCGCAAGTGCAAGATCGTGAGTTCGATCTCTGGTACCAAAAAAAATACAACAATAATAAAACTGTGAGCTCAGGCCAGGGATTGAGCTCAGTGGCACCGTGCCTGCCTTGCAAGCACAACACCTGAGTTTGATCCCCTGTAAAAGCAGTGGAGGGTGCGGCAGTGGCTGTGAACTCAGTCAAACACAGTGGTATATACCTGTAATCACAGCACTCTGAGAAGCTGAGGCAGAAAGATCACAAGTTCAAGCCCAGACTGGGCAATTTACCAACTTATTGAAATCATGTCTCCAAAATAAATAAGTGATTAAAAAAAAAAAAAAGAATGGAAGAGGGAGGTGAATCTCTGGGACTCAAGAAAGATCTGAAGGGAAAATTAAATCTCACAGGGAAAGTGAAAAGACAGACCTCAATGAAGAAAAAGGGGGGAACAATCTGTACTTTCTCCTCAGCTCTGGCTTGCAGCATGAGAGAAGATTGAATCTAAAGTCACAGTGAGAGTGGGTGACTCCAGAGGGCTCCAGGGAGAAACACACCAGGGGAAAAGAGCAGTGGATGCTGGGTACTACAACAGCTGGTGAGTGACTCCAGTTCAAGCTACTTCTGTGTCTCCTGGAGAGGGTATTTGATTGAACATGAGTTTTGGAGAGGGACCAACTGAACCCAGGACTAAGAGCAGCTGTGGGTTGCCTTCATCTCAGGTCTCCCAGTGTTGAAATCCCACAGTGACTAGGTGAGGGACAACTGCAGGAGACATCCAGGGTCAGAGAGCTGTTGTGAGGCCAGCAAGAGACATCCAGAGTTTGTAGGCTGAACAAGTCAGGGTCCAACCCCCAAACCAGAGGTCAGAATCAGCCTGAACTTCTGGGGATTTGAAAGTACCAGAACCAGCACCCTGCTGTAATCCTACTGCACGCTTACTGAGATTATCCAGTGGGGATCTCTTGTCTACCAGCAACAGCAGAGTCATACCCTGAACTGGATACTACCACAAAACTGTAGACCCTAGAAGATAACCACAGGCTTGAAATCACAGAAATTTCTTTGGTTTTGGGGTTTTTTCCCAATTGTTTTTTTCTTGAGTATGAACAATGTTTTTAGTTTTTTCATTTTGTTTTATTCTTATTTTTGTTTTTTTTTGCTTTCTTTCCCTCTTGTCTTCTTTACCAGTTTCCTGAGGCTTGGGTAATCATCATTGTCTTTCAGCCTTGCTTCTAATCTCTTTCTCTTCTCTTACTGATCTATTCTTTCTTTGGATCCCTTTTAAGTTTTCTCCTTAGGATAAAATCACTCTATTAAGTGGGCATTTACTATATATAATTGTCTTGATTTATCTTAGGTCTTGTTATATAGCTATAAATCTTGTATCTATGCTTAAAGTTGGCAAATTAATAGTTATCACAGTTTGTCATTTTGTAGTCTGTGGTTGATACTATTGTTATTACTGACTGTATTACTTTGGCCAAGGTGACACAGTTGTGATCAATTGATCTTCCTTACATGTAAACACCTAGACAGTCTGAAGGTCATAAACAATACCATAGTCCAGTACAAAGAACTTGGTGCTAGGCCAAACAGGCAGCAACATTTCATCCCTAATAAACTGGGTCAGACTCAAAAGCCAAAAGCCAGCTCTGCCTAGAAGACATCTCTGAAACGTAGTCATTTCGTAAAAAGGTCTTGATACTAGTAACAAAGCTACCCACCATAAGCAATTTACAAGCCTTAACACAGGAGGGAGGGAGAGAGGGAGAGAGGGAGAGAGGGAGAGAGGAAGAGAGGAAGAGACAGAGAGAGAGAGGAGAGAGAGAGGGGAGGGAGAGAG